CCTCATCTTTTTCGACATATTTATCACAACGTTTCGCCTGTTGTACGCTCCAGCCTTCTTCAGGTGGTTGGAATGTTGAACCCTTTATTTCGCTCACTGGGGTAGACTGTTCTAGTTCTACATGCCATGTTTAATGGATGTCAGTTATCAGTTATCTCCTGTTAATTTCCCTCTGAAAGTTCTCCACTGCCTTAACCGGGTATTGAACTCACACTATTTGGGTCCTGTCACTGGATCTAACCAATGCCTTTATCCACTGTGCCATTTGTTCTTGAGGACACATGGCACAGTGGCAAATATAGACAGACACTTCACAATGCCTTATACTCCAGTTGCATGGTTAAATTTGTATACAATTAAAGTAACTCTTTATGTCAACAACAGAAACAGTCTTGTACAAAATATCTGTAAAAAAAATACTGTTGACATCTGCACCCAACTATTGAAAAATCTTGGTTGGAAGCAAAATATGCTTGATAAAGAAATATATGGGAATCTACCAAAGTTTCTGGTCACTATTTGAGAAAGATGAGTGTAGCTTAGCAGATTAGTAAACGCAAATTTGTGCATGAGCTTATACAATTGGATAATCTATGCAGTGCAATATTCAGTGACATGGAACTTCTGGCTGTTGATAGACAAATCTGTTGCACGATAAAACACCAAGTTCCTAAGATTTTTGAATCAGCAACATGCTTACAGGCATGAGTGACTGATCTGTAGATTTGGTGGCCACATTCCATGTTCAACCTGCAGAATATGTAATTTCTGAATTTGACCTCAGAAGCCATTAGTGTATTCACCATCAACAACACATTAGATTACACAAAAGAAGATGATAGAAAGATTCTTACAAATGGAAGAAAAGACGTCATCATTGAGATCATGAGAAAACCTAAAGCTGAGTGACCCATACTTTAAGTCTTGTGCCACATCTAAGCTATGCTTAGAAAAATCACTGTATAGACATAGATTGGACACTTTGATGTGGTGTAATGGTTAGCAAGCTTGTCTCGCTAGATCTAGAACAACTGAATAATGAGTTTGAACCTCAGTGGGAGCTCCATACTTTCGGCCTTGTGACACATCTAAGCTATGCTTAGAAAATCATTTAGGGTACTTCAATATGGTGTAATGGTTAGCAATCTTATCTTGCTAGATCTATTACAATTGAATTGTGAGCTTGAATCTCACTGGGTGCCCTTGTGACACATCTAAGGTATGTTTAGAATATCACCATATAGACATAGAATTGCAATGGCATTGACAGCAACATAAAAAATGAATAACATTAGAAAGTCAAAAAAGGCAAAAAAAAAGCCTTAAAGTAACTTTTTAGGTCAGCAGCATAAAAAAAAAACAATTCTGTTCTGGTCAACCAGTTGGACATTAATAAAATCTCTGACAAAAAAATAAAAATAAAAATGGCATGTACATGCACTAGATGTCAGGTGGAAACAACATATATTTGATAAAATATTATATGGGGGATCTACCAAAGTATTCATCAAATGTAGATAGATTGTTGGTTAATTGCAAGTGGATGAAGCCAGCATCAAATGTAGTAGAGAATAACAGTACAGGCAAACTGTGCTTGATGCAATTTCAAATAATGTTGGCTGCTGTTGATGTACTTATACATCTTTACCAAACTTACACTGCCTGCTGTTGACATATATATACGTTTTTAAGACTTACTTGAACATCTTTACCAAACTTATATATATATATAAGTCAACAATAGGCAATATATGTTTTCAAGACTTACTTGAACATCTTTACAAAACTTACATTGCCTTCTGTTGGCCTATATATATGTTTTCAAGACACTATGAAAATTCTGGTCACTAGCATCTGTGTTATAACCTAATTAACGTTTAGTCCTAAACCAAAGTAGATATATAGTAGCATACAATACAACCAGTTTTGTGATGTGCTTTCATTATATTGTGTATTGGGGCGGTTAGCTGTGCTGCAGAGGATCACGTTGAAACCAATATTGCCTGCTCTTGATGTACAGGTCTCCAAGACACTGTGAAAATGTTAGTCCATAGTGTTTGTGTTATAAACTAAGCATGTACAGTGATTTTAAGACCAGCAGAGTCATATTGTAGCATGAAATACAACCTGTTTGGTGGGATGGTTTTATTATACTGTGTGTTGGGGTGTTACTTATTCTGTACTGTAGGGGATATGATTAAACCGAATTTGCCTGCTGTTGACGTATATATACATTTTCAAGTCCCTGTAAAAATGTCAATCACTTGTGCTTGTATTATAAATTAGCGTTTAATACTATTTCCAATATATGTAATATATATGGGGGTGGCATTCAATCATAGATTCAGTGTGGCTTGAGTTCCTTGCAGTGGCCCTGCTTCTAGCCACAGGGATTTAACTCACAGCTGCCAGGAAACCAGAAATATTTTAACCAAAGCTTAGTCCATAGTGTTTGTGTTATAAACTAAGCATGTACAGTGATTTTAAAACCAGCAGAGACATATTGTAGCATAAAATACAACCTGTTTGGTGGGATGTAGTAGAGAATAACAGTACAGGCAAACTAGACCAGTGCTTCTTAAACTATGGGTCATGACCCCAAATGGGTTTTGCGAAACGAAATGCTGGGGTCATGAAAATTAAATTCAAACACTTGAATTTCAGTTTATATGTTATTTCACAAATGCACAATATTAAATGTGATGTAACACACAAGCGTTGCAGTAATAAAATGTGTGTGCAGTGCTGTTGCGATCAGTACAGTGACAACAGATGTATTTTCAGTGTAGTTGCTTAATACCTGGGGCTGTGAAAAATCTTGTCCTGAAAAATGGGTTCATGAAAAAAGTTTAAGAAGCACTGCATTAGACACCTGGAGATGGTCAGAGAGTACAATGACCAAAAGTTTGTGATTAAGATAGCAATGATGCTCTGAATAGCAAAACATGTAATAACAATAAATCCTGATTTAAAAAAAAGCTTCCCACAAAATCATTTTTCTGTTTCTAGATGGACAATCTTAAATGACATGGGTTTAAACTTGAGGCATTCTTAAATAAGCTTGTCTGATCAAGACTTTCATGTGGATGTCATACATTGCACCTGACTTGTTCAGAAATATTTATACTGGCAGCTGTATAAAACAGTTTTTAAGATCAATGATTAAAAACGGTTTTGAGCAAAAAGGAACCTCTTAATGAGGTCCCTCCTTCTTCAAACCTTGGAAATCCCTCATCAGTACTGGAAAGAGCAATAACAGTTACTGGACTTGAGAAACTTATTTTCCTGAAAAATTGTTTCAAGAGAAAAATTTTATAAATTTTAACTGTAAGTTGCATTGGCTGCTCAGTCATTGAATGTTTCCTTATAAGGAAACAACTAATATTACCATTATCATTAGAGATGAGAAGAACAGATACTACACTTTGATCCTAGCCCGATGACCAGAGAGTGAAGAAAAGTGCAACTTGAATATCACTGGCTGCTCAGTCAATAAATGCAGAATGTTTCCTTATAACAAAATAGCTTATATTACTATTACTCTGAGAGAGCAGATTGGCATGAATGAATCACATAAAGCAAAGTTTGCCTGTCTCTTTATTATATGGGTTATTATGGCAGAATAGTCAGAAGGCAGTCACCAGCCATTATAGAAAGCAGTGATTAGGCAAGATGATAGATGAAAGATGAAAGATTGGAGGGTTGGCACACATAACTTTTCAAATGAATTCTTATTTTAACAACAAACAAAAGAAGAATTTTGTTGAACTGCTTGCAGCCCACAATCAAATTTGGCATATTTTAAGGTTATCATGTGGGGAACGATTCTGGACCCTGGTTATTCAAAGCTTCTAGAGGTTATGGGAAATATCAGTTTAGAAAAATAGATATCCATTTTGCAGAAAGGAGTTTTTAATATTAGCTGTTGATTATTTGGAAAAAAAACAGTACTCTTTTCTTGGAGGATGGAGCTTCACAATGCCCTATGGAAAAAAAAAACATTGAAACTTACTCACATTGGCTGCTGGAAAGAAAAATGCGATAACACAAAATATCACATGAGGATACAAATAAGGGATATTTAAAAAAAATGACAAAATTGGCATCGCACAAAATACAAAATGTCCTTTTCATAATGGCTTATGAAAGATGAAAAACATATAAAGACAATTTATATTTAAATATACACCAGAAAATGTTCCAAAATATGTAAATAGATTTTTTAAAATCCTTAAAGAACTTTCATTAGCTTTTAACCAAAATCATCATTATATATATGATAAAACATAGTTTTAAGGTATGCTATACTTATGGGTTAAAGTGCTCAATATCAGGGCTAGAGTATATGTAAATATAAAAGTGAACATTGAAGTCAACACCCAGTGGTGACAATCTGTTTCATCCTAATCGCAATCATCAGGCCTGACAATTGCATTTAGAATGAAACAGACTATTGTTTCTGGGTGTTGACTTCAATGTTCACCCCCCACCTCCACACGCGCACACACACACACTCACTCACACACACACACACACACACACACACATATATATATATTACAGAGCATATAACAGAAAAAAGGTGATTGCCTATTATGTATAGGGGGCAAAGTAATGTATTTCTGTCCAGGTATGTGCATTGTGTCCCCTACATATGCACACACCAATAATCTCCAAGCAAATGCAGGTATTTAATTGATGCACACATGTGTGTGTGTGCTCACACAGGTGGTAGCATGAGTTGAGTTAATGATATAAACATGCACACATTATATATATATATATAAACACACCTGTGCAATAGGCTAGCTTCTTTAAACACTAAGTGCTCCCAAACTCTGGTTATCTGGCTCTATGAATTGGCAGACATCTGGTTTACACTGATCCAGTTTATCTGTGGTCAGTTTTAGCTTCTGTGAGAAGTCTTCCTTTAGGTCACTCTGTTGGTTAATCCTGGCCATAAGTTCACTCGGACTCACACTGAATGCGCTTTTGCTGACCACATCTTCAGGGCAAAACACTGGGTACTGGTCGCACATGACCGAATCATTATCGTCGGTCTTAAACCAGGGATAATCTGGGTAGCTGACCGACGTTTCCAGATATGGATGGCTTATCACAAAGGATGAAATTTTGGTATTGTGGAAGCAATCTGAGGTTGGCGATAACTGACGATTGGGAATTGGATAGCCATACTTCTCTTCAAACCACTTGGGGTTACTGCTTTCAAATTTAAGAGCTTCATCAATCGCTTCCAGGAAAGCTTTCCCTTCAGGCGTTGAGTGTTCATCATTGAGTGGAATGCTGAATTCTTTTCCAATGGTGTAATCAAGGCTGAGGTTGTGGATGGAACGAACGATTTCAGTGAAGTTTTTGGCAATAGAATAACAGATATTATTCGAAGGGTAGTGTTTGAAAATACAGCTGTTGGAAGCATGATTAAGTTTGCAACTAAAGAACTTGTTGCCAGTAACACCGGATCTATGCATCTTGTCTATAAATGAGAAGAGAGACTGTGACAGGAGGCTGGAGTCTGGTTCTTTCCAAAATTCCATGTAATCTAAACCATTTGCCCAGGCTTCTTGGCGCCGTCCCAGACCAGTTGAATTCACAAGGAGGACAATATCTGTTTGCTGGATTTGCCATTTGATTCGTTCTTGGTCGTTTTTCTCATCCCCCTTCATCAAGATTGATGCCCGCTTGGGAAGACACTGGAACTTTTTCAAATAGATTATCAAACTGTCAATGGCTTTATCATGGGCAGCATGATCATTTGTACACAAAATGAGGACTTGCTTTAGAGAAAGGAGAGAGTCACCTGTAAATAAATAGAAAATAAAAGAGAAATATACAAAAAGTTTTTATCAGTTTGTTTTTTTATGGATTATCAATATTTTTCAGGTTATTTAAAGCCAGAAAATATTTTTAGAGTGTAAGAATTTTTGGAGAGATAATAATTATTTAGTGATACATGTCCTACTAATTAACCCATAGTTAGGAGGAGAAGAGGTGGATTTATACCATTTCCAAGGGTATTTTCACATATAATGAAACCAACTGAAATTAGAACTTGGCTCTTCAATTCCAAGCCATTATCCATTGCACATCCATGCTAACAGCACCTGGTATTTCCAAGTGGTCACCCATTTAGGTACTGATCAGGCTTGACATTGCTTCACTTTTCTGACTGTGTAATAATTGGTGTTTTAATGTGATATCGCCATAAAGAAAAGGTTAGATTTAGGAATAGGTAACTAAAATATGTCAGTCAATCTACCATTTTTTTTTAGTAATGCTCACCCAGTAAAAGGCTCAAGAGCCACTCACGATAGTGGGTTATTATGTGGAGTTGTAGTAGTGTAAGGACAAGTGTTAGGAGTATAGAATTGAAGTAGACTTTAGAAGGAACCAGAAATCCAATCCTAAACAGGAAACAAGGGATAAACCCCTACTCCTGTTTGAAAGACCAGCAGGGAGAGTGAACCAGATGATATGTGAACCTATCTACTTGTATTGGTGAAAGAGAGAAAAAAATCTTTACTCCTGTTTGAAAGACCAGTGAGGAGAGTGGACTGGATGATAGGGGAACCTATCAACTCCTATTGGTGAAGGAGAGAAAAAAAAATAATGTAAAATTTTATAGCAAGTCTGTATACTTTTTAAGGAATTGATTTTTATCCATAATTGAAATTAAAAGTATATCTATCATTAAAATCTTTTGAAGCCCATGAGTAAATAGGTTCACCTATCGTTTGTTTCATACCCTTCACCTGTGTTTTGAACAGGAGTAAAGGTTTATCCCTTGTTTCTGTTTTAGGATTGGCTTTCCTGTTCTTTTTAAATTCTACTTCAGTTTGATACGTCTAATGTCTCCACCTAAACTCTGAAAATTTTACTACTTACTTATTTATTTTTTTTAAAAATTGTTTTTAGTCACATTTCATTCTATGCACACTTGGTTAAAAGCTGCTAATTAAGCCCAATATCACTGATTTGGAAATTATTATTATTATTATTATTATTATTTGTTAATAAAGGGAGACTACTCTGTAATTAGCCATGCCTTGACGACATTTAAAATTTAAGATTGGTTTTACTTTTACCTCTCGTAATCCTCAAACAGCAGGAGTCTCATATGAAATGATTTTTGAACATACATGCTAGCAATTTAGAAAACAATTATTTTTGTAATAAAATGTGTAGAAATGCACATGACAGAAGAAAAAAAAAACAAAGAAATAAACAATTTGATAATTTTTGCATAAAATAATGATACATTTATTTTCTAAAAAAACAATATATTTTTGCATAAAAATATTTAATAAAAAAATATTTTTTTTATAAAAAAAAAATGTATCAGAATTTCATCCTCAATAATTAAATTATGAAAAGATATCAATATTTCATTTTTATCTGCGTAGAACTATTTTATTCAACAGCTAGTAATCTATTTACATTATTCACATTGTTTTGGACTGTTGTCCTCATCTTTACTGTTAGATTCTCAACATCTCAGCTGTTGTACGCACCAGCCTTCTTCAGGTGATATTTATTGGAATTTTGAACTGAACCCTTTATTTAGTCCAGATGACCCAGTTGATAAAAGCATTGGTTGATTGATCAAAAAAATGACTTGATCCAAAGCGTTGTGAGTTTAATTGCTGGCCTCATCAGAGGGAACAAAAATTTGGAGAGTTGTCAAGGCAAATTAACTAAAACAGAGATATCCAAAGCCATGGTATGTGGAATTAGGACAATCTATCCCCATAGAATGAATAAAAGGTTTCAGTTTGAAATTCTAACAAATGTACAATGGACAAAATGTTGTGAATGTGACAGCAAAGATGAGGACAACAGTCCAAACAATGTAAATAGTGTAAATAGATCATACCTCATCTTAGAAATATAGACAAAGTTAGTAATAGTTACATTTTTTTTTCCTTTCAATTTTGGTACAATTTTATTTTCAGCTTTTATTTTTTTAAACAAATAAACATACAGCAATTGAATCATAATTATCTTGGACAAGTACGAATGCACACTATAATGTTAAGTTGAAAACTGAACTGGAAATTTCTTTAGTTTTCAAGATTTTTAACAATAAAGTATTTTAACAATATTGCCCTAACAAAAATCATGCTACAATGTACTGTTTTTACAGTATTAAGATAACACATTTACAAAACAGAAATTGAAATCATGGCAAAGTTTAACCTTCAGAACCACCCCCTGCCCCCAAAAAATTGGTCTGTCAAAAAGACATTTTTTTCTCTTGACTGCACTATTACTGTATCTGCCCATAGTAATGCTTATTGTTTTAAAAAGATGTTTATAAATTTAATAACAATAAAAATGTTACTTGCTATTTAGTTGTTGGATTGTTTATTTACAAGATTAATTTATATTTACAAAATTATAAAGTTATATGAACCAACTACAATGGCATATTTATTATTTATCTAAGCTAAATTTGTTGGCACCTAAGTGTGATGGCCTTGTGCCAGACTAAGTTAGACTTTTCAACACCTCATCAGTGTCATTGCCTTGTGCCAGAGTAAGCTAAATTTGTTGACACCTCCTCATAATGTCATAGCTAGCTAACCAGTCTTGTAGACCAATGACCCCTATTATCACCTGGTGCTCCATACTTGTAGCCTTTTACCAGACTAAGCTAAATATCAATAATGAATTAATAAGTTTATCTTACCAGCAGTCATCTTGTTCTGTACAGCTCCAAAAACTGTAGGCAAAAAATAAAATTAATTAATAAATAAATTAATAAAAATTAATTAATTAATAATTAATATTATATTAATAAATTATTGATTAATAAAATTAATTAATAATTAATAAAAAATAAATAAAATAATAAATAATAAAATAAATAATTAAATAATAAATAAATTAAATAAAAATAATTAATAAAAGTTAATAAATAAATAAATAAATTTAATAAATATATGAAATTGAGACTTCAGAATTGTGATAATATTTTCCAATTACACACTGTATGTCATATCCCTTCAGAACACAAGCGATCATGGCTCTCCACGACTTCCTGTTATTTGTTGTTCTAAGTAATTTGTTTCGTTAACATCCCTCCTTGACTTTGTGGTCATGGTTCTATCATTGAAACTCATCAAGTTGTTTACTCACCAATTTTTTTTTACTTGCCTTGCGCATGTTAAATTCTCCAAGGCTTCTTTCTTTTTTATAGGAAATAGCAGCTGTCTCTCTCCATTTGTGAGCAGCAGTTTCTTTGAAGTTTCTATTTTTGTTAAAATTTTCTTGCGTTTCACATATTCTGGACATGGTATTCTCAACTATTCACCAATGACTAATGTTCACCCAATGCAAGGCCCGAGAGCCACTCAAGAGAGAAGAATATGAACATAAGTAAAGGCAAGAAGTGCAGTTCATGAGATTATGTAGGAAAGATAACAGTTCATACCAGACTTCAAGAAGTTTGTAGTGATCAGGAAAGCATCCTGTTGGGAGCCTGTTCAACAAAGCAGCAGTCCTTGCGAAGAAGCTGCCCGAGAGGAACTTACTCCTTACTAATGCAATACAAAGTGATTAGGGATCATTCATTCTGAATCTGTATTCAGGCTTTTTTCTTTTAAATATTTTCATAGTGTATTCCTGTTCTTAAACAGCTTCATCAGATCTAGACTCTCATGTGGATGTCATGTATGGCATCCAACTCAATCAGAAATCTCTAAACTGTCGTCTCTATACAACCAACTCAAGTCGTTTTCTTAAATGGCCTCATCAGATCTAGACTTTCATGTGGATGTCATGCATGATGTTGATACGGGATCTTACTCATAATAATAATGGACTATTCCATACTTAATAAATACTGCGCCTCAGGAGTAGGCAAGGAGTCAGTAGTTCAAGTAGAGTCAGTAGTTCAAGTTGAGTCAAGAGTCGAGTCAGAGGTAGTCTGAAACAGAGTCGCATTCAGACAATTACTGCAAGACATTGGAATAGTTGAGACTACATTGTTCTCTCTACTAAACCTGATTGTTCATACTAACACTTCTACTTCTCTGTATATATTCCTGTTTGTAATATATCTGTGTTATTCCATACCTGTGTTCGAGTTCTTTATTGGTTCTGCCTTGGACTATCACTGTGGTACAAGGAACCGGACCATAACAGAAATCTCTAAACTATTGTATATATTTTTATGAATGGATTTTTCATTTATTAATCTGACATATTTTAATTTATTGCTTAAACTTTAATGGATACCCATATTTAAATAGATGCTGTTTATATTTATTTATTAAACAATATATTTATTTTCATCTACAGGCCTGAAAATTTGAGGAATCTTGTTAGAAAAATAACATCTCAGCCACAAAGAACTTCCTGGTCAAACAAAGACCAAATAGTGCTTTTGAACAGACTTTCTGAGGGGGCATATTTTTCTAACAAGATTTCTTGATTATTCAGGTCAATTGATGGAAATAAATAAATATACTGTTTAATAAATAAATAAATAAAAACAGAGTATCTGCTTAAAGATGAGTATCCATTAAAAATAATGTTTAAGTAATAAATTAAAAAATCGTCTATATGCAACTGTTTTCTCAGGTCAATGATAAAAAAATGGCTACAAGCAAATGAATCCAGTAGATCATAAAAAGAACTATCCTTCATCAGATATTGCATTTGAAGATTGATTGATTTGTTTTTTATGGTTTATCAATCCCTTATGGATTATTTAAAGACAATATTTATTTTGGACTGTAAGAATAATCTGTTTTTTTGTGAGGGAATAGTGCATTAAGAATTATTTTTAGGATAACA